ATTTTCCTTGCCTATGATTATAGCACAAGAAGCAATGGGCTTAAATTGTAGCAAGGGAGGTTTAGGTTGGACTTCAGGGAAAACTTCCTAACAGTCTAAGCACTGGAATAAATTGCCTAGGGAGGTTGTGGATTCTCCATCGCTGGAGATGTTTAAGAGCAGGTTGGACAGACCTACCAGGGATGGTCTACATGGTGCTTGGTCCTGCCATGAGGTCTGGGGACTGGACTTGATGACCTCTTGAGGTCCCTTCCAGTTCTAGTGTTTTGTGATTCTATGATTCTCTCACTGTGTGTATGAAGAGCATTAGCACAATGGGGCACTGAGGTCATTTGGGTTGTGTACGTGTTAGTGTAATAAAAATAAACAAGTACACATACTTTAAAAAGTACCCCTCTTGCCATTTTTTGTGTGATCAAGCAAAACTAGGGCTTACCTTCCACCATCTTCAATGAGAAACCTATTCAGCACTCGCAATTTTCAGGGCTAAATAAGTGCTTTGGATCTTATTTTAATGGGACAGTGTTTCCATAAAATTGCCCACACATTTTGCTTATTCATATTGGGTAGTAGGGTGTCCAAATAGCTGGATCAAATGCACCAGTGCAGTTGCAAGTGAAGTATTATGGAAATACTGTCTGACGGTTTTTGGGTTTTTTTTTTTTTTTTTTTTGAGGACCATGGAACAAAAATCACAAGTACCCATGTTGGCCTCTGCTACTTTAGAAAATATAAATAATGGAATTGCTGTTTTCCAAATGTGAGAAGCGAAAAGTGGTAGCCGTGAAAGTTGTGTTTATATCACCCCCTTAGAAGGCGTCAAGAAAAATAAAGCAAGTGAACAGAAAAGGGGGAGAACTAGAAATGGAAATGGTGAAGAACTGATTTGCGCACCTGTTTCTGCGACTCTTGTCCCAAAAACTCCCATGCTGCCTTCAGCATCTCTGCTCTAATGATAGTTCACCTTTCCTTGTTTGTGACACTGAATTGTATCTGTAGCAGGGCACACAAAATATTTACTGCATATTGGCAACTCCATATTCTGGCTAGGGGAATCGTAATATTTTAACATTATGCTTTATGAAGTCTGAAGCATTTAATTTTTATTAGCCACAACTATCTTTCATGTTCTCCCCCACTCCGCCCCTTTCCTTTTACAGTGTCAGTAAGTATCTGAGCCATGGAATCTGCACTTCACTTGGCAGTGAGCACATCTCTTTTTTAAATTGCTTTTTTTCAGTTGGGAATTTGTGCTTGCAACGGCGGGCTGCAACACCGAGAGAAGAGGAAGAGAGAGAGAATCGCTTCTCCCCTGGTGCAAACACTACACTGCGTTAGAGATTGAAAGCTAAAATAGCACCGCCCCAAAATAAATCATGACGTTGCTGTTGTGTTACAGTAAAGGTATGTCTACACTTGCACCCTCCTTCGAGAGAGGGATGCAAATGAAGACATTCGAAATTGCAAATGAAGCCGGGATTTAAATATCCCATGCATATTTTGCATATTTGCGTTATGGCGCTATTTCAAAATAGCGCTATATTGAAATAACAGATGCTGTTAAGATGCGGTTATTTCGAGAGAAAACCCTTCTCTCGAAATAACTGGTAAACCTCATTGTATGAGGAATATGGGTTATTTCAAGAGAAGGGTTTTTTCTTGAAATAACTGTGTCTTAACAGCGTCTGTTATTTCGAAATAGCGCCATAATGTGGTTATGCAAATGAAGCACGGGATATTTAAATCCCAGCTTCATTTGCTATTTCAAATGTCTGCATTTGCATCCCTCTCTCGAAAGAGGTTGCAAGTGTAGACATACCCAGCCTAAGAGATGGGCGTCAAGAAATATTCCAGGTTCCAGCCTGTTTAATAGATCAGCACGTGACTGTACCTTTACTCCATATTACATTTGTGGCAGCTTTGTAGCTGGTGGCGAAGAGGTTTGGATTAGAAGTGGCTCCTTTTCTCCACAGTATACCTGAAAGTTCAGCATGTGCGTTTTGTTAGTCCTCTTATATCTAATTAAAATGTGTTTCTGACCCCATTTTCATAGTGTCAGTGCACCTGACAATCTTTAATGTATAGAGCCTCATAACTCATGCCTTTGAGGCAGAGTGATGCTATTATTTTCATTTTACAGAGGAGGAGAATGACTTGACAAAGGTTATATAGGGAGTATGTAGCAGAGCACGGAACCCACCTCCCGGGTTAAAGTGTTCCTTCCGTTTTGAATTTCATAATCTTCAATAGGGATGTAAAAACATATTTAATTGGCTATCGGGTTAACAATATTGTTTAACTGGTTAACCAATTAAAGGGTAGCAAGTGGGAGCTGCCGCTGGGCTGGAAGACCCCCCAATTCTCCGCTGCAGCCAGGGGCTTGCTTGTGACCCCCTCCCTGCTGCAGGCAGAGGCTGCACCAGCCAGGACTTCAGATCAGCCCCTGCCTGCGGCGGGCCCTTGGCAGCGCTGAAACAGCCGGCTGTGCACAGCTGGTGGGGAGCTGCTTCAGCTCCCTGGTTATCCGGGTCACCCTTCACATCCCTAATCTCCAATCTGCGGGCATATGTTACTCCCACATGTGATGGAATCATTCAAACTCCTGTTTTCTGGGTGATTCAGCATTCAGACGGCTCCCTGTAAACTCCTGCCGGTCGATTTTACTCCGGCAGGACAGTCCATCTGCGGAAGCCCCTGAACCAGCACAGCCCATGCTGTTTGGGGAGTTTTGCCCTAGGGTCTGATGATTCAAAAGGGCCCAGGGCCCTTACTGCAGGAGAGATGGCGGCCGGAGCCAGGGCCCTTTACATCACCAACAGAGAGCTGGGGGCTGTCTGGGGGTGGTGCCGCTGGCTGACCCACCCATAGCTCCGCCCCTTCTGCTGGAGGCCCCGCCCTTTTCCGGTGAATGGAGCTGCCCCTCCCTTTGTCCAAGGGCCCGACAAGTCTGTCAGCAGCCGGGGTTAGAGAACATCCCCGTTTAGTAATACACTCAATCCTGTACCTAATCATAAGCACACAGGGATCTGCAGGGATCTTCCTGAATCAGGGAAACTACGGTAAGATCCCCCATGGTTCTGCTGCCCGTAGCAAAGACCTAGAGGGCTAAGAATGCACTCTGACTTTTTTGCCATTGACTTAATGGGAACTGGATCAGGCTGTGAATGAACTAAATGTCTGGGGAGAAAGCCAAACGTGAGCTGGTTACGTCTGGTCAGCAATTCCTGGAGTTTACAGGTTAGCCTGAAAATACGATGGGCAAGTTTGCGGGGGATGTCTTATAAGAAAAGAATTGGAAAGAATGAACAAACCAACCAACCGAACCACACACTTCTGGGCTCCAGCCAGTGGCAGAGACTCCTGGTCAGACTTGCTCCTCCCCCTCCTTTCCTGCTGCTGAGGCTGTGCCTGTGAGGACATTGATGAGTAAGTGGGTGGACTTGAAAAGGTGGGAAATGGGAGAATTCTGGCTCATTCCAGCTGGTGCGACCGCTGCTCAGGGACAGATAAAGCAGGTTCCTCAGCAATTGGAGGTAGGGTTACCAGGTAGCTTCAGCAAAAATACCAGACACACTTGATGGCGGGGGGGAAGGGACCAGCCGGGAGGGGAGGGGGGCTGGATAGGAGGGGGGGGACGGGAAGCAGGGCTGGCAGGGGAAGGGGTCGGGGGCAGCAGGGCTGGCTGGGAGAGATGGGAGGCCGGGGGGAGCAGGGCTGGCCGGGGAGGGAGAGAATTGGCCAGCAGGGAGCAGGACTGATCCAGGCACATGCAGATCCCAGAGTGCTGCTTGTCCTGTGCACGGTCCCGGCAAAACATGAGTGAGTCCGGCTACAGCTCCACAACTCACTTGAACATTCATTGCTGACTGCCACCCTTTCAGAGGTGGCTTCTTACTTCCTCCCCATCCCTGACTTCTTGACAGGAGCTTTGTGGCTCAGTTAATGTTTATAGACTACTTTAATGACCTGCTTTTTTGGCCTACTCTTAACCAGTCAGGGGGACGGCTGCATGTGTGTGTATTGTGTCTCAGATTAATACACATATCAGGACAGGAGCCATGTAGCTGTAGGGCACTTCACACAATGGGGTCTTGCTTCTCACAGGGTCTGATACAAATATTTAAATAATTAAAATGTGGCATGTCCAACTCCCTGATATGTAGCTACATTCAGGGAATCAGAGCTGGGATTTTCAGAACCACCATTGGGGTTGGATGTCTTATGCCCGTTAATTTGTATGGGAAATTGTGCTGCCTTAGGCACCTTGGAAAGCAACAGCCCACATGCTTCAATGGAATTTAAAACACGTTTCAAACAAGCAAAAAGAAGTTTTTGTTCACTCAGTGCACAGTCAACATCTGGAACTCCTTGCCAGAGGTTTTGGTGAAGGCTAGGTCTTTAACAGGGCTCAAAAAAGAGCAAGATAGATTCATGGAGCCAGGATGGGTAGGAATGGTGTGACAGGGGAGGGATCACAAGAGGATTACCCATTGTGTTCCCTCCTTCTGGGGCATCGGGTATTGTCCGCTGTCGGCAGACAGGATACTGGGCTAGATGGACTGTTGATCTGACCCAGTATGGTCGTTCTCATGTTCTTATGAATCACTTGTGCTCTAGAATAATTGTGGGTGAAAAACGCCACTGCTGTTGTTTGTGCCTGTGAACTGTGGGAACGCAAAGGAAGGCACAACCTGCCCCTGTAAATATTTGGTCTCGCATCCATAGGCTGTTGGTAACAGTGAAAGGATCACCCCTTTACATCAGGAAGGGTGTACTGAGGTCTGTAATTGTTGGAACCAGTGTTCACCTTCAGTCCCATTAACTTGCAGAGGTAGCTGTGTGTTTGTTACATATACACTAGAACCCAAATACAGTGTGGTGACAAAGCTGTGACGAATGTCCCTCTCTTTGGTGCATTCCGGTTCAGAGGTTCAGCTGTGGATGCTTGTTCTCTTGCTAAGGCAGATGCATTAATGTGCGTTCTCCTTCTCTTGTTCCAGCCACCCAGATCGATCCCAATGAACTGCAGGAATTGTTTCAGGAAACTTCAACCAACATCTTCCGAATCAACTCTAACGGTGCGTATAATGCACGGCTTCCTAGTCAAGTGTACGCAGCCTTGTTGAGGACGTGCGAGTATGTACAAAGCCCTGCTGTTAGGGAGCAGGTCCAAATGCATTTTAACTGCCGGGTGTCATGATCTCTAGCACCCGTGCAATCCCCATTTCTTTATAAGATATAAAAATATTTCCTCATATGTTGCATGAAAGAGGCAGAAATCTATGCCTAGGCTTGCCAAGACTGCATCCTTTTCTATTTTTAATCATGTCATCTGTTACGATAAGGAATTAGAAGGCAGAAAGGTGGAACAAGTGACACCACTTCTCCAAAGTGTTGCCTGCTACGAAGTTCAGAGCCTGTCAGATTAGCTTGCAGAACAGCTGTTCTTTCCTTTATTCTTCCCCATTGGGCATGCTAGTCAAGGTAATTCCCCATGGGTCTGTTCAGGAGACTGTTTCCTGTGCACTGAGTAGGTCAGAGTGCCTCTTGGGAGGTGCTCAGGACCCTCCACACTCACTGAAGGTAATGGGAGGTGTGGTCGCAGGACCTTGCAGGATTCAGGGGTAAATGACAAAAAGAGGGCCAGGGAGTCCAGACTCCTTGGTCCTCTCCCCTGTGCAAACAATGATTGACACATCCTAAGAATTTAGGTAGGTTGGGGATTGGATCAAGCCTTCAAGACAGGAGAAGTTATTCTTCAGCTCTGCTCTTCGTTGATTAGGCCTCAGTTGGGGTATTCTGTCCAGTTCTTGGCACCGCATTTCAAGAAAGCTCTGGAGAAACTGGAGAAGGTCCATAGAAGAGCAACAAAAATGATGAAGGGTCTAGAGAACATGAGCTACGAAGGAAGTCTGAAAGAACTGGGTTTGTTTAGGTTAGAAAAGAGAAGACTAAGAGGGGACATAAGAGCAGATTTCAGATATCTAAACGGGTGTTACAAGGAGAAGGGAGAAAAATTGTTCTCCTTGGCCTCTGAGGATAAGACAAGAAGCAATGGGCTTAAATTGCAGCAAGGGTGGTTTAGGTTGGCCATTAGGAAAAACTTGCTCACTGTCAGGGGGTATGTCTACACTTGCATACTGTTTCGAAATAAGGATGCAAATGAAGACATTCGAAATTGCAAATGAAGCTGGGATTTAAATATCCCACACTTCATTTGCATAAGCCCTTTATGCGCTTTTTTGAAATAACAGACGCTGTGTAGACACGTTATTTTGAGAGAAAACACTTCTCTCAAAATAACTGTGAAACCTCATTTTATGAGGAATAAGGGTTATTTCGAGAGAAGAGTTTTCTCTTGAAATAACGTGTCTACACAGTGGGTTTTATTTTGTAATAGCGCTATAATGCGAATATGCAAATGAAATGCAGGATATTTAAATCCCGGCTTCATTTGCAATTTCGAATGTCTTCGTTTGCATCCCTATTTCGAAATAGGGTGCAAGTGTAGACTGGCAAGTTTTTCCAGCTGTCTACACAGGCCGCTTGATTTTGTGCAAAAGCACTGACGTTTTACTGTCCAAAATCAGTGCTTCTTGCGCAAATGCTTTGACATTCCCGTTCGGGCAAAAGCCCTTTTCCAGAAATGTTTTTGTGCAAGAGGGCCAGTGTAGACAGCTAAAAACTGTTTTGCGCAAAAAAGCCCTTATGGCGAAAATGGTGATCAGGGCTTTCTTGCGCAAAACCGCATCTAGATTGGCACGGACACTTTTCCGCAAAAAGTGCTTTTGCGGAAAAGCGTCCGTGCCAATCTAGATGCTCTTTTCCGCAAATGCTTTTAACGGAAAAACTTTTCCGTTAAAAGCATTTGCGGAAAATCATGCCAGTCTAGACGTAGCCAGGGTGTTTAAACACTGGAATAAATTGCCTAGGAAGGTTGCAGAATCTCCATCACTTTAAGAGCAGGTAGGATAGACATCTATTGGGGATATTCTAGACGGTGCTTGGTCCTGCCATGAGGGCTGGGGACTGGATTTTGTGACCTCTCGAAGTCCCTTCCAGTTCTAGTGTTCTATGATAAGATATAAACTGAAAGTGACAGCCAGGGCTGTAAAGTCCTCTCCTCCTACCATCACAAGCAGCCCTGTCATGTAGTCGCAACACAGAGATTTGTCAAGCTCTGCTTAAAACCGATTATGCTGTTTTCACCCACAACTCCCGTGCCAAGTTTTGATGTCTTTGTAAAATGCGGGGTGTAGTTCAGCGGCAAGTTATGGTCGTCATACTATAAGAACTGCAGGGTGAAATTTTCTGGCCTGTGTTGTACGGGAGGATGGTCTAAATAGTTCATTCTGCCCTGAAATCCATGAATTTGTAATGTTTTGAAAGCTCTCGGAGAATAACCTTTGGAATGAAGGGATAGCTATAAAATAGCTTATTGATGCTCTCGTGGTCAGAAATGGGGTTCCAGTTATTTTTGCCTTCTGTGATTAGCTGCAATTACAGAAATTATGCACCGGGAAAGTAGTACAACGCACGGCTGGAAGGAGATCTGTGGATAAATCAGTTGGCACTCAAGCTACAGGTTGCACCTCCCCAAATTGGAATTCTCTGGTCCGGCAACATCTGTGATCCGGCAGGACTCTGGATGTTCCTGGATCAGAGAACCCTGGTAGCCTAGTGGCAGGAGGGCAACCCAGGGGGGCCAGGTTGAAACAGTAGGACAGGGCAGGGGCTGGGGCTGGCGACAGCCCCCTGCAGCAGTGAGGCTGGAGCCGAGAGCAGCCCTGACAGTCTGCGGTACTGAGAACAGGTTGGGGCAGCCCCCCGCAGGACGTAACCAAGCTGGCAACAGCCTGTGCTCCGGTCAGCCCGCAGAAACAGGCACAGAGCCTGTGGGCACCCATGGATCAGGAGCCTGAGTCCCCGGCAGCTTGTGGCAGTGGGAATGGGGCAAGGGCTGGAAGTAGCCCCAGCAGCCCACGGCAGTGTGGAGCCAGAGCCTCGGCCAGCCTGTGGAAGTGAGGCCAGAGCCTTCAGGCTGCCACGGGACTGGAACTGGAGTCCGAGCCCTTCGTCAGCCCACAGCAGCCCAACCAGAGACAGAGCTAGCAGCCAGCAGGGGCTGGAGATAGTACCGTCCCCTCATGAAGCCCTGTCAGAGTCGGCATCTGGGGGCTGTGGAGGGAACCTCCTTTGGTCCGGCAAATACCCTGGTTCAGGATCAGTCAGGTCCCGAGGGAGCCGGATCAGGGATAGCCAACCTGTAGTAAAATAACGCATAGCAGTTTTCACCCACAGGTCTCCAAGTGATTTACATAGGAGATCAGTATCACTTTAGAGAGGGGGAAACTGAGGTACAGAGAGGGGAAGTGACTTGCCCAAGGTCACCCAGCAGGTTAGTGGCATAGCCACAAATAGACAAGTCTTCTTAGTGCCATCCCAGTGTTCTGTCCACTAGGCAACACTATCTCCCTACTGCATCACTTGCACTTGTAGAGTTAGATGATTTTGAATCCCAGCTGTTGCCCGTGGCGATGATGCAGTTCATTTTCTGATAGCTCACTATCTCATTGCTTTGGAATTAAGACACTGAGGCTGTGTCTAGACTACATGCCTCTGTCGTCAGAGGCATGTAGATTAGACACATAGGCAAAGGTAAATGAAGCTGCGATTTAAATGATCGCGGCTTCATTTAAACTTACATGGCTGGCGCACTGAGCCGACAAACAGCTGATCAGCTGTTTGTCGGCTCAGCGCGGCAGCCATGTAAATTTAAATGAAGCCACGATCATTTAAATCGCAGCTTCATTTACCTTTGCCAAAACAACAAATCTACATGGCTCCATCGACGGAGCCATGTAGTTTAGACGTACCCATGGTGTCTCAGAAATATGCAGTGCTATAGTAGATGTTTGGCTTGTTTAAGTGCTCCAGTGTTTTGAAGCCATGTTTTGGTCTCCTCTGGTTTTTTTGTGTCGCTTACATCATTCCTTTAGGAGCTCTCCTCTTTGGGTAAATCTAAACTACATGGTTTTTTCGAAAGGAGATATGCAAATTCAGTGCTGATTTGCATATCTTCTTCCGATTTCCCACTTTCCGATCTCTTTTTCAAAAGTGGGTTTTTTTGAAAGTGAAAGTAGTCTGGATGCCTTTTTTTGGAAAAAAACCCCTTTTTTGAAAAAAAACCCCATAAACCTCCTTTTTTTTAGGAAGAGCATTTTTTTCCCCCAAAAAGGTTCCCCCCCCCAAAAAAAAGCATCCAGACTACTTTCACTTTTGAAAAACGATCGAAAGAAGATATGCAAAATAGCACCAAATTTGCATATGTTCTTTAGAAAAAAACCCGTAGTCTAGACGTACCCTTTGTGGCCATGGAATTTTGCGTGATAGCTGTTGGGTTTTGTGCTTGTGCCAGATTTTTTTTTTTTAATTCCAAGGTTGCAGATGACATTTATCTGATTGGTGACTTTTGTGGTTATTTTTCCAAAAAGTGGTTTTCTTTTAATTGAGCAGTACTTAGCTGCCTCCTGGCAAATGCCTTAGAAATCAATAAAATAAACACCACCAATAAAAGGAATTAGTTCAGTAGATCATGTCAGGAGAGCCGATCCCAAGAATGCACTGGAGGGATTAGTCCCACACTGGCCGGATGGGGGGTCTGAATGCTCTAATAAGGCTCTTCTATCTCAGATTCCTGTTACTTGCTTATTAATGATGCCCCAGGACAGGTGGGGCTGTGTGTCCCCCATTTCTTTGATTTGGGGGGCTGAGAAAAGCATTCTGTCTTGTCCCACAGGGGTGTAAAATATCGGTGGCCATTTTGGGATGAAGATCTTAAATATCTGGTAATTGACGAATCGAATAGTCGATGGACTTTGCATCGACTATTCGATTAGTCAGTAGGGCACCTCTGCCTATTGACTCAGTGAAAGTGCCACGTGGAGCCCAGGTTCAGCTGGGGACTCAGCTGATCTCGGGCTTCATGGGGGGCTGCCGCTTTGAAATGCCGCGAGGAGCCTGATGCCGGGCTCCTCGCATCGTTTCAAAGCGATACCACTGCACAGAGCCCAGTGAC